GAAGAAACCATCTTTCATAGCTTTTGGTGTTGGTTACAAGAAGAACTCTTTAAATTTATCTTTATCAACTCAATATTCACTTCAATACTAATAAAATCGACAAAAGAAATTATACTATTTATTCAACAAGATATAAATTCTTGTGTATTTTTGTTTTTTTTACCGATAGATTTATTGTATGCTAACAATAAAAAGAAATGCAAGATTTTGTTTCATGTTACTTTTCTACTGGCTTCATGTCACCGCACACTATAAATTTTAAAATAAATTATGTTACAATGCAAAAAACAATTCATTCTTTCTTATAACTTTTTTTTAAATGTAAATTTCTATATTCAATGAAAGATTATTTGATGAGTAGAGCTCACACTTTTAGTCGAGAACATATAGTATGATTAGCGTATAAATGGTTTATTTATAGTGAGTGAAAAATAATTGAAAGTATTTAAATTATTTTAAAAAAAACCTTTCATTATAATCTTTTATAATATTTATCAAAATGTTACAAAACTAACTGTATAAAGTTGTTGATTGTTGATTGTATTAAATTTCTTATAGTACATTCTATTATGAGATTACGTTGAATTCGATTAGATGGTAAAATTATACGCAAAAGTCTTGACATATATATATAAAAGGTACTCGTAATTTGAAATTCAAGTTGAATTTTTTGCCTTTTTTTACATATAGTTTGATAGAGTGTAAGCTGTTGATCACGAAAAACCCTAAAAACTATATGGGTGTCTTTTATGAAAATGATACCTACCTAGTTTTTTGGATTTTCAGGCAGAAAAGCGCGTTCTTAGACGTTAGAAACTAGTTTTTCATGATCAGCAGCCTTAATGATTAGTTTCATTGATATTGAGATAGTTTATATGCTTAGAATTCAGTTGTTACAGATCTCCAGGCTTTTTTTTTTACTGATGATAATATGATCGTGACATATAATCTATTTATGACGATTGTCTGACAATCTCCTACATATCATCCTTGCAAAAGAGAAGATAACCTACCACAAACATATCTACTCGATTGTTTACATTCTACTCATACAAGAAAAATGATGTAATTGTTAAAGCAATTCTATGCCTGATTGTTCGATATATCGTTATCAGGAAAACTAGTTTACTTTATTAATATGTATGCTAATATTCTTTGCTGTTTCAGGACTAACTATGCAAGAAAACTTCTTTTTCTTGAGAATTTTTCAAATATTTATTCGATTAAAACGCATTCGAAACAGAGGTCGAAAACGAACCGAACCGAACCGAACCTGAAGTAATTTTGAAGCAAAAAAAGTTGAACACGGTTTAATGTTTAATGACAAAAAAGTAACTAAACTATTATTAATTTAGAGAAGTATAACACCGTCAAGAAAGATAAAAACGAACGTTTATTGATTGTTTTACATGCTTGATTTAATATCTGTGCATTGCTGTCTACTTTTTCTCTTAGTTTTAGTTACACAAATTGTGTTTATGATGACAGATCACTTTTATGTGGCATAATTCTTTGATTTTTCTTTTATAAAGTTCTTCATTATTCTAAAGTACGATGAATAGTCATCCGTAGTGATATGAGATTAGTGTCAGCACTGCAATATTTCTAATTCTCGTATATCAATGTTAACATATAATTTAATCTACAAATGAATTTAGCAGTGTTAAATGACACGAATATGAACTTCCATGTGACAATTTTGATCGTCTGAAAACGAAGTTTTGATTTTTGGTCTAGTCTTGATTAAATGGCAGTAATACTACTCCAGTCGAACCGCACCCGAACTGTTTTTTTAAAGACTAGCCGAACCGAACCGAACTCGATCTAGAAAAACTCGGTTCGGTTCGACCTCTGATTCGAAATTATCACAATAAAATCTTGATACAATTATCGACAGATATTTAGATTCATGTGGTTTTCATTCTTGTATAGAATAAACATCAAAAAGATTTTATAGATTGACTTTGTTTTGATTGATATATACGAACACATTCTAAAACGTCCTTAAAAAATATCCTTGACTTTTTGTCCTTTTGATAAAATGTTCTTCAAAGTAAATGTCCTTGAGAAATGATTCTTCGTTTGAAAATGTCCCTGATCCTCAATTCTTGCTTTTTTTGAATACCATGTGACTGGAACGTAGATGATGCTGTTATTGAAACACATTTCGGCAGATATCTAAATTGTTTATCTAGGGGACTTATTTGGTACAGAAATAAATACAAAAAGAACGAAAGTAAATTTTATTAAAATACAATTATTTATGTTTATATAACATCTTATAAATAATCCCAATCAAAATCTTTTAAATTAATGGAATCGTACAACATCATGATGGAGATGTGGATACAGGGTGGGTGTGGGTGTGGGTGTACGTGTGTGTATGAATGTTCGCGAAGAGAATACCCACACCCACCATTTATTCATAAAATAACTAAGCCTGAATTCGAGAACTATCAACGTCGCTCTCACAATCTTCTCACATTTACAAAATAACGTTTTAACTTCATTCATACGACACGACTACACCTTCACTTCCATCACATGTGCAACTTCCATCCGACAAAAGCACGAAGGAAATATAGATGAAACACTTATTACTCAAACATCACCATTTCTCAAAAGAACGAAACCCACTTTTCTTGCACACAGCCATGCCAATGAACAAAGTAAACGTATCTATTTCTCTTTAAGTCTTTTCAATTTCTCCCTGTCATTCCAGATATGGATGAAGAGTTTCTCCATCAAAAATAACCATTTCTAATAGAAAAAATCCTTTTCTACTAGAAACATTCCATAAAATGAAAAAATATTTCCTTTTCTCTCTAACACTTTTCGATTTCTGCTTGTTTATGGGGATATGAATGAAGAATTTCTGCTTGAAAAATAACTCTGTCTAATAGAAAAAATCCACATCTACTAGAAAGTACCCTTAAGATGAAAAAAAAAATTCCATTTCTCTCTAAGATAACACTTTTCGATTTCTGCTTGTGTATGTTGAGAAAAAGCGTTTCCTTCTGATTTTATGTGGTTTAAGCATTTCTCCTTGAAGTGGAACAGTTTCTCTTTGAGAGGGAGAAATGGTCTAGCCCTCGTAGAAAAAGTGGTTCAAACAAAGATTTCTAATACACGTCGTACGATATTTCTGAAGTGTCTTTTTATAATAATGAAGAGGTGGCAAAATAAATTAACAAATCTCGATAGCAATGGCGTGCTAGTATTAGTTACATGCCGAAAAGACATCCCTATATATTGAAAAGTGTACTTTTAGAAGCCGCTGATGAGCATCGCTTTCAAAGCGACTCATCTGTCACTATCGAACAACATATCGGAGAATGTATCCAGGGATGGCCCGAGTCAACCAACAATGGGGGGGTGTCGCGAAATTTTTTGCAGTAAAAGGTGGAATTTTTTAATTTTGGGGGGGTGTAACATTATTTTTCATGACAAATGGAAGAAAATTTTTTGATTTTGCTGAGCAAAAAATAGAATTTTTCTAAGATTGGGGGGGTGTTTCACCCCCGACACCCCCCCGGTCGGGCCACCCCTGAATGTATCTAATTGTAAAATTAGCTGCAAGTTTTATAAGAAAGTATATTTGAAATCGAATTGTTTTTAGTTATGCTTATGCTGACTTTATTCTATATATATACAGGGTGGGCCGAAAGTCAGTTTACCGAGAAAAAAAATTGAGTATCTCTACTACAGTTCCGCCAAACGGGCTGATTTTTTTACCAACGATAGAGTCATGTTGACATTCCAAATCCATACGGACAAAGTCAGTGAGAACTTTTGTTAAGTATCACTTTTGACCCCAATAAGAAAATTTTGCTTTTTCACAGACAGAAAAAAACCAGTATACAGGACGATGCCAAAGTCACTTTATCGAGTAGAAAATTTACTATCTGCACTACAGCTCAAGTAAACGAGCTGATTTTTTTACCGATGATAAAGGCATGCGCACACTCCAAATCCATATGGGCATGATTAGTGAGAACCGTTGTTAAGTATTTTGTTTTCTTTTCTTATCTGTGAAAAAGTAAAATGTCCTTATTGAGATCAATAGGGATACTTAACAAAAGTTCTCACTGACTTTATCCGTATGGATTTGGAATATCAACATGACTCTATCGTTGGTAAAAAAAATCAGCTCGTTTGGTGGAACCGTAATAGAGATACTCAATTATTTTTCTCGGTAAACTGACTTTTGGCTTACTCTGTATATTGTTTTTATCCGTTGTTAGTTATGAAATGTCTTTTGGATGATGTGTGGATAAATGAACAGAAACAAAACGCAAACTATATTATACTAATAGGACAACAAAACAGACGTCTTAACACAATAAAAATTGCTTTCTGATTTTTTTCTGATTTTGAACAAACACATTCTGATTTTTAACTTTTTGATCTAGCCACCCTGGTTAAGACATATTTATGTCAATGCATTTGTTTGAATTTGAGATGTATTAAGCCGTGGACAAGTGACAAAGTTACTCATTTTTGAACTCTTTAATTGTAATAATTATAATCACTCTCATCTTAGTTCGATGTACCATGATAGTCAATAGCGTGGTTGAATGTGAAAAGCAAGGTTAGATCAATCAGTCATTGATGTCAAATATTTGTCAATATATCGCTCTGCTGTTGTTGGATGCGTTTATTCGTCAACTTTTGACAGAAGTTGTACTGAATGACCCTCTATTTCTTTCTTATTAAGAACATGAGGGCACGTTGCAACGTGACTGAATCTGCCGGAAAAAAATCGTTTCTTTCCTTTTTTTTATCCTTTCATACAGTGTTCGGCACCATCACACTGAAAAAAAAGAGCAGATAAATTTTGTTTCTTCCTCTAGTTATACGGCGACCATAAAAATACCTCTCTTCTTTTTTTCTTTTTTGTGTCGTCGTCGTGAGTGGAGACAGAAATTTCATCTTGCAGTCATTAGACACGTTGCAATAGTAAGAAAAAGATGAACACAACGCCTGACACCGTCATTAACATGCAACAACTAGATATTGACACTGCTCAAACTAATCCAAATAGACAGATACGAGAAAGGATGAGTTTTCGGATTTATCTTCGTACTTTCTGGATGGATTATCTTTTAATGGCTATATTAGGAGCACTTGCTCTAGGCGTTAATATCCTTGGGCCTGCATCGAATCGTATTTTTCCTGTTTATTTTCGTAATGGTGAAATAGTTAATCCAGAATTTAGTTATCCATTTAGAAAAAATATTATTCCATCATGGTTAGCTGGTTTCTTAGCATTTATTGTTCCATTTATATTTATTATGTTAATGCAAATACGCATAAGAAGTTTGAATGATGTTAATACAGCAACAATGGGTTTAATTTTTTCATTATTATCTACTACTGTTTTTCAAGTATTTATCAAATGGCTTATTGGTGGTTTAAGACCATATTTTTTTTCTGTTTGTAAACCAAATATCAATGTAGCAAGTGTTGGTACTGGACAAGGTTTTTATGGTTTGATGTTTGACCGTTCAATATGTACAGGTGATAAGAAAGAAATTGATTATGCATTAGAAACAATGCCATCCGGACATTCAGCAATAGCGTTTTCTGGTTTTCTTTACTGTTCATTGTATCTTAATGGTAAATTAAAAATTTTTGCTAATTATCGTCCACAATATTGGAAATTTGTTCTTTTTTTTGCTCCAATACTTGGTGCTGTTCTTATGGCTGGTTCATTAACACTTGATTATTATCATCACGGGTATGACATTTTAGCAGGTTCACTTATTGGAATAATGTTTGCATTTGGATCGTACCGTTTTCAATATGCTAGTGTTTGGGATTATCGTTTTAATCATATACCATTACCAAGATTAGAAGCAGATCTTGGTTTTGATTATCATCTTGATTATTTAGAAAATTCACTGAGTGGTTCAAGGAAAGGTCGATGGAACGATGATAGACACATTTATGGAGCACCTTTTGATGCGATAGAAACATTATCAACTTTACATTGATCATGATAATAATTAGAAGGAAAATTGTTGCAAACAATAATATTATCAAACTTCACAAGTTAAGATTTTTACCTTGACTCTTATTTGTCTACTACTTTTTCAATAATCTCATAAAATAAATGAAAATCATGAATACATCAATTTAAACAAATTCTACTACTTAATATCTGGTCAATGAAAACTTTTCCTCTGCGTTATACATGTCAATTCCGCTAGCCAAACACTCAGTCAAAGTTATGTTATGCTTTCACTAATGGGAATAGCATCGTTGGAACAACTGCTACATTCATCATTAAAATGTGACATATTCATTTTTTGTTTTAAATTTATTTTACTGTGCCATGTTGTACCTGGTTCACAGTAGGAGAAATAAATATAACCAGAAAAAGAGAAAGACATGTATTATGGTTGTAATACATCAACAGTATAAGAAAAAAAATGAGAGAAAGATAACATTGTATATATCCCAAAGTCTAAAAAATATGGCCACTAGAAATTTTTCTAGTCACATCCTACTCGGGGTATGGTTTTTTTCATGTTTTTGCAAATTTTTCACTATTAGTGAACCTTTTCCATCGAGACAACTAGAATCTATATCAAAACTAATATCAGATTCAGAATCAGCACCAAAAACTGAATCGATGGGTATATATTTCAATTATTCCTAAAGATTTTTATTTTTGTCGAAAGATTCACCCCTACTTCCCCTCAGGTCCCACTGCTCACAGATGTCAAAAGATGATTTTTCTTAGAAATAATTGAAATATATATCGATCGATTCAGTTTTTGATGCTGATTCCGAATCTGATATTAGTTTTGATATAGATTCTAGTTGTCTCGATGGAAAAGGCCCACTAATATTGAAAAATTTGCAAAAACATGAAAAAGACCATAGCCCGAGTATAATGTGACTAGAAAAATTTTTAGTGGCCATATTTTTTAGATTTTAGGATATATACAATGTTGTACCTCTTGAAATGGACTATCAAATGAGTACCCAGGCGAACAAAGGACGGATAAAAAGACTAGTCATTTTTCTAGTCGTGACTATGCGTCATGTCTAGTCTTTTTCTCAAAAAGCACTACTACATGACTAGTCCAAAATGGTTTGGAATCTTTAACCCCGTCTGGGCATCCTGTCCGAAAATAGATTTTAAATTAAAAAAGGCAGAGCGCCTGTGACGCGACATCTATTAGGTTTCAGTCTTATGTAGCGGTCTACTTTGGACTAGTCTAAATGATAGAAATATATGCAGAAAGTTAGATTCGTACATGCATACCTTGTGTTACTTACTCGTCGTCTACCCAATTGAGCCATATGATCTAGTGATCAACTTTTACATATCAATACACATCTGAAGATACTAATTACTACAGTTTGACTCAGCGTTTTCTCAAGTTTTAATATTTATAAAAACTACTTGTAATAAAATCGAAAATTAGTTAAATAAAGCTAAGTAAAATTAATTCAGAATTGTTTTTTGATCATCGACATTTGGAAAAAATTATTTTCTATTGGAAAAAACAATTAAAATTTAAATCAAAATCAAAATAATAATATATATTTCAAAAAAAGATCTTGCTTTTCATCTCATGGTTTATGTTTATCTTAATTTAAAATATTTCCTATTTAAATTTGAAAATGCACTATGATTCTATCGTTTAAATCCATTTTTAAATTCAAATCATTAGGTTTTATATTGAAATAAAATAATATCCTCATATCAAAGCATTAAAATTAATTTTTCGAATAAAATTATTCTTAATTGTTATTACAATGTAAAAATTTAAAAGGACATAAATAGCCAACTCTCGTTAGATACATCGTTCTAGTCCCAATACAAACCAGTCTAAACGAATTATTCGAATGATTAAGTCCAAGCAATAAAGACTGTTTGGAAGGATAGACTTGCCTGGACCAGAATTAGCATTACTTTCTCGAAAACGACTAGTCATGACCAATATAGATGATTCTTCATACTAGTCCGCGTTACCTATTGAAAACAGTTTAGACTAGTCAGGTATCCAATATTGTCGGCTTGAATGTTCGAATCCACCTATCGCCTCCGTTTCTTCTAACTTTTGCCTTCAAGTTGACGCGTCTGGACAATATACACATACGAAACGGACTAGCCATGACAAGATTAGAGCATATTTTGGACTAGTCTATTTTAGATGCAAGACGTTGCTCGTGAAGACGACTAGTCCTGACCGGCTGCAAATCATTTTAGACTAGTCCAAACGGCAGTGCAGACATTTTAGACTAGTCCAGACGGGTACTACGGACAATTTAGATTGGTCATGTCGGGCGTCACCCATTATTTTTTGCTCGCCTGGGTAATACTAGAATTTTGGCCTTTTCAAGTTTTACGACAGAATATTTGTTGAAAGATAAAAGTTGATGATAAATATAGGATCTATATAAACAGTGCCTAACAATATATCAGGCTCCCTCCCCACTGAATCAAATAATCAATTGTTGATTCATATATAGGATTGAAGCCCTATCAAAAAGCTATTCAATACTTAATTTTGCAACTTTCTTTTCTTATCAATTTACTCTAAAACTGAGTCGACCATGATGGGGCCGATCATTGAATTAATGATAAAAAATGAGTTACTTTGTTAACAGCTTTTTACTTTGAAAATTCGATCAAAATCTGGTGAAAATAGTGTCAATATGTTAATTTCAGCATGTTTTTTCGATTGATATATGATTCAATGGGGTTAGCCGAAAAAAGTCCTAGTGGGCCGATTTGGCTTCTTATGTGCCCCCCTCCTTTTGGAAGTAAAATATGATCACCCAGATATCAAGAATATTGCGTACGAGTACAAACAACATGCTGTTAAGAGAAGAGTTGAAGAATCAACTGGAATAACACTAACAGAAATAACTGAGATTCTGGTAAAAGATGTAAATAATATGTACACTTGTCCAGAATGTCGAAAAAAATTCAAAACATAAGACATAACAAACCATGTGAAAAGCTGTGCCAAAACATGGTGCAATAAGAACAAAACTAAATAAATGAGTTTGTAGTATTGAAAACGATTTGGAAGTATGGCTGTTCAGATATAAATGAAGAGTGTCATCTGAAACTAATTGGAGGATGATAATCCGATGAATAATCTGCATTAGGGGTGTCAACTTTGCGTTCCGTTCCTAGAAACTGGAACGCAACATACGTTTCTTTCACTTTTAATAGAAATTCCACTAATTCACCGAAGGAAAGCCAATTTCATAAAAATTAGGGATGTCAGCGTGCCCCGTTCCTCAGCGTTCCGTTCCTAGGAACGGAGCGCTGGGGAACGGGAAACGCTGACACCCCTACTCTGCATCATAACTTCTAATGAACAAACAGAATAGAGATCAAATGGTATACTTTTTTCTTTTTTCTTTATTCTTTTTTTCTTTTTTCCTTTTCTCTTTTTTTCTTCTTTCTTTTCTTTTTCTAATTTCTGATTTCTAATTTCTTCATATTTCTTCTTTTTTCTTATTTCTTACTGACTTTCTTTTCTCTTTCGTCTTCCACCTTTTCCTAATTTCTCTCTCAATTATCTTTACTTTTTTCTCTTCTTGCATACTTTAATATGCTTAATACAATTTTTTAGGTTTTTCTTATTAATTTTGTTCTGTTTCACCCTAAACCATAAGCTATGGCTATTACTTACTCACTTACATCACCGCACACGACTTTTTCACAAGCAAGTCCTACAAATTCAAGAATAAAAGCCGAGGCGAACAAATCTTGATACAATACTCAGCATGCTCAATTACATCTGTTTAAAGTGATTCTGAATCCATCAGTAGTCGTTTAGACTCCATAGGTAGGTGCACGTATTTTAATTCTTGAATCTTGACAGAAACGAAGAAAACTTTGAATAGTGCTTCAAATCAAAGAGAACTGTCTAATGTATGATTTTGATGAATTAAAAATGAAAGTGCAATAGAAAGGGCGAGGGATGTTTTGCCTAGATATCGGTCCCTATCGAAAACATAAACAGTTTCACATGAAACTTCCAGTAATTGTAGGACTCAGAGTCACTAGTCATTCCTATAAGTATCAGCTCGATCGATCAAGCTTTTCCCTTACTTTGATATACTGCCATATAGACCCTATTGGGCCTTCTATGGGCCAAACAATCATTCATTTTAGATGGTATATATACAGGGTTGGAAATAATATTTTGATAGGGGGTACCACTATAATTTCAAATAGAAGACATAATGAATTTTATATCAAATGAAAGCTCGCCAAAAATGGGGTTTATTGATACTAAATAGTAAGGATTATGAACACTTTTTAATATCGAACTTAAGTAACTTTCAGAAATTTTATACTTTCTTTGCGGTGGAAAAGTAAAGTGTCAGTAATTGAAAAATGGATTAAAATGTTTTTCTTGGATATTTTTATATGGTTCTATAGAGCTCATCGAGCTCTACAAAACTGTATGTACTAAAAAAATTTTAAACAGAGTTGTTGGGTTAAAATTCACTGAAAACTGTCTAAAGAATGTACCGAAAACCCTCATTTTTTACACTTTTTATAGGGAACAAAATGGCCTTTTTTACACTAAATTCAGCTGTTTTCCATTAGTATCCTTACGTAAAATGTTTGAAAATATACTCATTCGATGCAGCGTGAAAAACTGTATCGAATGAATATATTTTGAAACATCTGAGGAAGTAAAAATAATCAGAAAAAAGGAAATTTTATTGAAAATTCGAGTGTTTTTCTTCCATATCAAAAATATGACTTTTTCAAGATTTTCCAAATAGTTTTTTAAATTTTTATTACAAAAAAAAGACTCAAAAAATTTCTAATATATACAGTTTTGTAGAGCTCGATGAGCTCTATCGAACCATATAAAAATATCCAAGAAAAACATTTTAATCCATTTTACAACTACTGGCACTTTACTTTCCCACCGCAAAAAAAGTATAAAATTTCTGAAAGTTACTTAAGTTCGATATTAAAAGTGTTCATAACCCTTACTATTTAGTATCAATAAACCCCATTTTTGACGAGCTTTCATTTGATATAAAATTCATTATATCTTCTATTCGAAATTATAGCGGTACCCCCCTATCACAATATTATTTCCAACCCTGTACTCTTTCATGTGGCCTGTGATCATCTTTTTTCCTGATATATGCATATAGTTTTTTTTCCTCACTTTTCTTGAGTGACTTTCTTTGTTATTCTAAGTGGTAGCACTTATGTTCAATCTCACTATCTTCTTCTCTCTGTTTCACATATACCTTTATTATTTTGTTCCACCTTTTTCGCGTTGAATTTATTCTTTCATGTCCAGTATTGTGTGTGTTATCTTCATTATTACCTCACCATATGCCTATTTCTAATAAATAAACTTATGAATCTTAAACTCATTATTGCATCTCCATATTATTAATAATCAAGTTTAAGGTAAAACGTACTTAGGTGAGATTTTTAGTCCTATACAGGTCAAGGTTCATACTAGGTATCTTTCGGCTTACATATATCACGGGGGCAGAAGTAACAAATAGTAGCAGAAAATCTCACAGTCATTTTCATAAAAATGCTTATCGAATGGGTTTGTTGTAATGGTCGTATTGATTCGAAGAATCATCGTCTATTTCATGGATCGGTGTGGGTGTGTGAATGTGGATCTTCTCTTCTTGCATGTTCACACCCACACTCATATATCCATTGTCACAGCCACATACACCCATACTCTTTGCAGCTACTTTTTCGAGCACTTTTGTGGCTCTTAATGATTAGTAGTGATACTGGAAAAATGGCTTTGGTTCTGAATCGTATAGTGAAGAACGAAGGTAAACACAATTCTCTATATAATACTTTCATGTATATTAGGGGTGGTATGTGCTTCATAAAACATAGAAGACAGATTTATTGCAGTCACTTATTCGAGCACTTTTGTAGTGCTTAACCTCTTGGATCCCGACAATTCTTGTGTTCTTTACGAGCTTACAGAAAAATCGAAAAATCGCTCTCTCTTGTATTCTATCGTCGTGAATCAACTGTATAAATTTATATTTTATCGTATATGAAACGTGGATTGATGCAGCTGTATTAATGAACATTTCGTTTCGCAGCTGTTTATCGATACAGCAGAACGAAAAGAAATTCTTGCGTTCTGCTCGTCTTCAACCTGAAGACAGCAGTATTCAAGAGGTTAATAATTAGTAGCGATACTGCAAAAATGACTCTGGCTCTGAATCAAATGGTGGAGAACGAAGGTAAACACAGTTCTCTATATAATACTTTCATCTATATTATGGGTGATATGTGCTTTATAAAACATAGAAGACAGATTTTTTGCAGCCATTTATTCGAGCACTTTTGTAGCTCTTAATGATTGCTATTGATGATGAAAAAATGGCTTCGATTCTGAATCATATAGTGGAGAAGAAAGGTAAACGCAATTCTTCATATAATACTTTCATCTATATTATGGGTGGTATGTGCTTTATAAAACATAGAAGACAGATTTTTTGCAGCCACTTATTCGAGCACTTTTGTACCTCTTAATGGTTAGTATTAATGCTGAAATAACTCTGGTTCTGAATCATATAGTGAAGATTGACGGTACACAAGGCTCCAGCAAAGCCCATATATGGCCACATATTAAGAGTATTCTGAATTTTTTGTAGTCAATCTTTGATTCTTACTCGAATGTATCTATACAATTTTTGTCCCGAATTAAGCTCTCTATCGAATGATATGTAAATCGTTTGTCAAAGTATGTATCTATACCATCTAAAATGAGTGACTGTTTGACTTATAGAAGGTCCAATAGGGTGTACATGGCTGAGTATCAAAGTAAGAGAAAAGCTTGACCGATCAAGCTGAAACTTATAGGAATGATTAGTGACTCTGAGCCCTACAATTGCGGAAAGGTTCATGCAAAACTGTTAATGTTTTCGACAAGGACCGATATCAAGGCAAAACATTCCTCGCTCTTTCTTTGTTTCCATATTGACAAATAATTACGTGATTAACAAAAGAAAGAGATAAAATGTACTATAATTTTGATCTAACTACTTAAGGTCGACCAAAAATTCTGATAATATGAAATAAAAATATAAAAATTAAGAGATATTTTAATTTGGTTTTATTAAATGTTAAAGATAGTTAGTACCAATATTTATATGATGGTCGATCGTTTTTAATGAGTTGGTAAAAGCTCTTGCGAAATTTGTTTTTAAAATATTGCTACTTCTCTTGAAAACCAAATGAACTGAATATGTTTCATCTGTCTGAAAATCTTGCGAAATTTTCCAGTAGTGGCAGAATTCTGGCAAGCAGAATTTAAGAATTCTGCTCTATATATGGGAATATATATAAGCTTTCTATTTACATATAACCAGAATTCTGATTCCTTCGCAGAATTTTGTTAATATCAATATATATATATATACTATGCCTCGAACATCGTTGTTCTGCTTAGAATTCTCCTTCCCAAGCAGAATTGTGCTTCAAGATATACACCTGCTCTTGCATTCAGAAAAGAATTCAGCTTAAAATTCTGCGTTTCCAGCAGAATTCAATCAGAATTCTGAATTAGAAACAGAATTTTATGTAACCCTACATAGTTATCCTTGCATCTAAATCAAAATTCTGCTTAGAATTCTGTTTTTCCAGCAGAATTTAGCCAGAATTCTGGTTCCCCAGCAGAATTGTGCTTCAAGACATATCCTTACCTATATGACACTGAATATTAGATCTTTATATTTGCTGATCAACTTCCCACCAAATAGAACTAACCAACGATGTTAGGAATAAAACTGTACCTTGAAACAAGATTGAGTGAAAATTCTACTATCTCTAAAAAAATATAAAAGTATGTTTTTTCTTCATAAAGTTTCATAACTGAAACAAATAACATAACAAGAAACTAAGTTGAAATTAAAAAAACCTGGTAATAGAATCAACAACGAGGGATCTTTAAAAATTAACAAAGAAAACAAAACTTCACCAAAGAATCAAAAAAAAGTCAATGCATATTATTTCTTCATAAATCTTCATAAATGAAGAAAACAACACAACAACAAAAAAGTAAGTTGAAATAGAAAAAAAACACAAAGTAATAGAACCAAAAATGATGAATCTTTAAAAATTAACAAACAAAACAAAACTTCACCAAACAATAAAAAAAACCAATGTATGTTTTTTCGTCATAAATCTTCACAAATGAAACGAACAACATAACAATAACAAAGTAAGTTGCAATAGAAAAGAAAACATGGTAATAGAACTAAGAATGATAGGTCTTTAAAAACTAACAAACAAAACCAAACTTCATTAAAGAATAAAAAAAATTCTCAAAAACAAAATTCTAAACCGAACTCTGTCTCATTTGTAGAGGTAAGGATATATCTTGAAGTACAATTCTACTAGAAAATCAGAATTCTGGTTAAATTCTGCTGGAAAAACAAAATTCTAAGCAGAATTTTGATTTAAATGCAAGCATAAGTGTATAGAGTCATACAACATTCTATTAGTAATTCAGAATGCTGATCGGATTCTGCTAGAAAAACAAAATTCTAAACACAATTCTGTTCCGTATTTAAAAGTAGGTGTACAAAATTCTAATAGTGGTTCAGAATTTTGGTTTTATTCTGCTGGAAACAACAGAATTCTAAGCAGAGTTCTTTTTAATATCTATAAGTAGGCATGCATAGAGCAGAATTCTTAAATTCTGCTTGTGAGAATTCTGCCTGTTCTCGACAATTTAAGCAGATATGAAAACGTTTAATTATTTAGATGTATGTGTTATTAATTTCGCTCTCTTTAATACTTTCTTCTATTCATAGACTAGAATAAATTTACTGCAATGAATAATAGCCTGTTGCATCTACAAACATCCAAGAGCACATCGAATACGAACAAAACTATAAGATTTCGACCAAAATTTTTCGTTATCAGCGTACTTGCTATTATTATTATTGTTGGTGTAGGCTACAAAACTTTAGAGAGAAAAATATCATATCCTATCCAATACTGGTCTCAAAACAATGCGATGAGTACCAAGACAACACAGTCATTTCGGCAGACTGAACCTGGAACATTGTTAAGGTCGTATATCTATTTCAGTCGATATCAGTCTCATAGCGAGGTCATCTCATATCGTTCGTCAGTCATATTTAACTACTCAGAAAGTGTGTTTCACTCATCATTCTCTCCACCTATTTTGTGGCTTGATGCTTATGGTGATGTACGATGGAATGAAGCAGCAGAGCATGAAATGTACGTTTACCTTTCAAAGAAACAAACAATCGAAGAAAACAGACCAGATGAACAAATAATTAATGATTGTCTTCATCGTCGATTTTTCGTTATTAAACAACATGAGTGGGGATTTTTCAGTCGTTATCACTGCTTTATTGAACAGTTCGGTCAAACATTATACAGTCCCTGGATGACATTGCTTTCATATAATCGTTTTCGTATTTCACAATCGTATCGAGATGATTTTCTACATGAAGGGATTGTACGGTACTTTGGACCAATATCTACATGTTCCAAATATTTAAAAGACTCCCGAATGAAATCCATTGAATCGATATCTCAAGATGGCAGTGGTCTTTCGTCGGATGTAACAGATATTCAAGAACTTCTCTATAGCAATCAGTTGAATACTAGTAAGCACTCTGTATTACGCACTGACAAAGTATGGACATTCGGTTATGAGCACGTACCAGTTCGCCGATGGATGCTTAGTCGTAATCAAGTTAATCGAACGTATAATCTGTCCGTCGTAGCTCTGATCAATCACACAGACGAACATATTTATCAAGCTCCATCACTGACCAATAATTTTCTCGATTATTGGACGCCAAGAAATCGACCATATGCTCAGCCGAATCGACATCTACCTGGCAACCAATACAAGTTAACATGGCAAGATCATGTTTTTACAGGATTTCTTCGGTATATGTTCGTAGTCTATTTTCATCGTTTTTCGCCACGCATTCATCAAATGACACATCTATTGGCTGAACATTGGTCAAATTACTTATGGGATAAAGATCAACGCACTTTAAATGACACAGCAGCGATATTTATTCGTCGTGGCGATAAAATGTCCGAAGATTCATTCTGGAAGAAACATAATATGTGGCGCAACATATCAATGTATGTCAAAGGATTACTTGATGAAGAACAGAGACAAAATCGAACATTCTCATCGGTATTCATTATGACCGATGACGTGTCTGTGATGAATTCTATTCAAGATTATGCTGATCCGAACTCGAAAGGAACCGATGAACCATATGCAAGAAAGCATTTGCGTAATCGACAGATAATGTATAATGTATTTGCACCACAAGCATGTTTTGATCCATTTATTCGCATCGGATTCGAGCAGTTTTTAGTATCTGTGGAGTTCATTGTTCAGCATGTTCAATTTACTGTTGGCCATAGCGATTCAAATGTTGGTCGCTACTTCGAAGAGATTACCTATGCGCGAAATCAATTGAAAGCTTCAGTTCAATCAGATTCCTTTGTGAAAAATGCTCCGGATTATTTATAATTCCTGCAAAGTAATGAGAAGAATCCATTTTTTAGAATTCTGCGAGGACTTTTAGATGTAACTCAATGGTACGACTGTTATTTTCGAGAACCGTTCAATGTGGATCATATCAAGAACTTTTCTCTATCGATTTATGATAGCCTGTGTTAGCGTCAACAGATGTCGCATTATGACGCTAATTTATATTCAGTGTATTACATATACATATATTTTTTTTTCTTTTTCTTTCCTGTCATATATGTATATGTTCTATTGATCATCATGAGATCATGATGATCTATTTCATATTGCGTCATTCTAGTTTTTCTATTACGTTTTTTTTTTCTTTTTTTTCTTTTCATATTCTATATACGATCTTATTTTTCTCTCGTTATGGGGTCATTGTTGTTTTTCTCTTGTCATGATCGTTTTTCTTCTATGATTGTTGGTTATTATTATTTTTTCTGTTATTATCGTTGACCATTCTTGTTATTGATCAACATCGTTTTCAACATTATATATATATGTGTGTATTATTATTGATCTTCATCAATAAAGATTAGATTGGATTTATATATACACATCTACATATATTATTATTATTATTCATTTATTCCAAAGTACGGTAGGCAGTTCTTGACGTGAGATTTCTTATCGTTAGATAGTTCAGATTGGCATACGATTTTTATTTAGCCTACGATAATTTCGGAGGCTGAAGTCATTTCATACATTGCCAAATCGAAACCTCACAGCCTGCAGCGAAGCGGAACGTATCGTTGCAACAGTGAAAGAATAGAAAAAAATTTAATTCAATATTGCTACAGGAAACAATGTATTTAGAATTGCATATAGAAATAGCCTTTTTACCGATCAAAAAGCGTAGTTCATTTAAAAAACATGAAAATGTGAGGATGTATTCCTAAAGTATTCATTGAAACTCAACAGATCATTCCGAAGAATTTCCAGTCGGCTGGCCGCGATATTGCTCAACGATCCCATTAATTGATTGGAAACACGTAGATGAAGTTAGCAGCGAAGTCGAGTAATACCAGTGGTTATCCACTTAAAAATCTATTCCAAAGCTCCAATTCTTGTTCCAAATACAATGTCACGATCTCCATCCAACAGTATAGTCAGAATTTTCCATGGCGTAAACCATGTTTGTGTAAACCCTAACACGAGTATGTGATGCTGCTTAAGTCATCTCTGTTGTATATGGTTTAGGGTGTGGGTGTGAGAGTGTGGGCGTGGATTTGGATGCAATCATTTAAACCCCCCGACACATTAGAAGACCCCCCCACCCCTATAGTAGAGATGACCCTCTCTTGAATCAACAACCCAAAGGATAGATTAGAGGACCTGCTCACCTGCTTCTAAGGGGATCGTCAGAGGAGATGGGTGGGTCTTCTCATCTATCCTTCACTTCGTTGATTCAAGGGAGGGTCATCTCTGCCACAGGGGTGGGGGGTCTTCTAATGTGTCGGGGGGTTTAATCGAAGCGTTATCATTCTTATTTTTCTTCGCGCCCCTGAAGCAC